AATACGGACAAGGAGAAGAAACTGAGCAGAAGTGGTCACAGAGTAAACAGATGTGTGAATGTGTGAATTGTCCACTAGCCGGACATGGTGAAGCTACAATGACCTCCACATGCTGCTGACCAGCACAAATGTTTACACCATTGGCTGCTATCAAGAAAGGCAGAATCATCCCTTGTTCACCACACCCTGCTGGTGGCCAGAGAAGGGACCAACCCCAACCCTCACCCACCCAGCAGCACATGAACGCGTCCCTGCACAGCCCCTGTTCTGCCTGAAGTAAAAACACTGTTCTCATAGATCAGGCTCCTGGTGTTTCTCCTCCACACCGAAAGGCACATGAGTTCCACCGCATCCGAACAGCAGACAGCACAGTGCTGGGCACCCTGAGTGCAGAAGAACTTCTTCCGTAACAACTCCCCTCCCTCCTTCTAGCTGCGCTCTGTGCCTGAAAAAGTTCCTTTCCAATAACAAGCCTCCAGACTTCAGCCACCTTCTGAGTCTGCACGTACTACTTCTATATCGGTTCCTTGACCCCAGACACAAGCTAGGTCAGCAAGAACTCCATTTAAGACTCCGCTTCCTCCCCCGCCACCCCTCCTTTGCTCCCCACGAAGTCACTGGCTAGCAGAGGACACCAACCCTACTGGGGACCTCAGTCCTCCGGTTTCTCCTCTCCTGAGCTTGTCCCTGCCCCAAGTTTCTCCTTTCTTCCTTTCTTCCATTTTTTATCCTTTCTTTTTCTCTCCTGTTTCTCTTTTCTTTTCCTTCCTTTCTTCTTTTAGTTTTTAGTTTTTTCCTGCCCCTCACGCCCACCCCACCCCACCCTTTGGTAACTGGTATTTTATTGATTGTTTTGTGGCTCAGTACAGAGAAATTATAAACAATCTGTACATAATTTTTTTTCTTTTGGTTTGGGGTCACACTGGCTGTATTTCCGATGTTTGGGATTGGAAGAGGATGTGAAGGCAGGCAGTTTGTCCAATCTGCTGTCGTCGGCTGAGGATGTCCTCGGAAACGGACTCAGCTCAGTATCCAAGGGAAGACAAGGGTTCTGCTCCGGATCTCCTGCCTGCTCCAAGATCTCCGCCCTTCTCAGGGGTCTCTACCCTGTCAGATCTCTGGCCTGCTCTCTCCTAATTTTCTCTTTAGTATTCTCTTTTCCCACATCTCTCATTTTGCTTATCTATGTTTCTCTCTCTTTTTTCTTCCCTTTGTTTTTCCCTATCCTTTCTGCTTCTTTTTAGCTATTAAGTTATTTTTTCTTGCTGTTTGCCTCTTTCCCTGCTTGTTGAGTTCATATTATTTTATTTTTCTGCTGTTTACTTTCATTTTCTTAACCTGGGTTTTTCTTTTTATTTTCTTATCCCACCCAATGGGAGAGAGCACTATCCACTCCTGTCCACCTGAGCATCAAAACTAGCTAACATCAACTAAACCTGCCCTTAACTGTGCTAAATGACCTGCAAACAGAACCATTCATGCACTCACATTTTCATTCAGAACCATCAGTAAACTCACATTTTCATTCAAAACCATCAATCAATACCTAAGTTAACACCAACATACAATCATTAATTAAACACAAAATCATCACCACCACACTGTCTCACAGAAACCTGTTTCACTTTACACAAAAAAATATGACAGTGACTCAGAGGTGACCAAAACACTGAGCCAGGACAGCGTCCTCAAGTACAAATGGCACTGCACCTTAAACACCTTAGAAAGATTGACAGATCAAAAAGTTGCAAGCAGAACAAAGAAACAAAAAACTTTGAAGAATTCAGGGAAACACCAGAAGAACAAGCTAACAAAATAAATAAAAAATTAGAATTCATATAGAAACAGCAAATGGAAATCCAAAAGATTAATAATAAGATTTCAGAAAAAGATAATGCATTGAAAGAGCAAAGGAGTATAATGAATCAATTGAAGGCCAAATTAGCGAGCTTTCAGGCAGATCTCTATATGCTAAACTGCTAGGGGGAAAAAATCAGAGGCAACAAAGCCCACATGGAAGAAGCACACCAGCCTATGCAACCACGAGGTGTGGAAGGGATCAGGCATACGGCATCATCAGAACTAAAAATCTTACCATAGTGAATGATGGGGGGAGTGTGGAGTGGAGACCCAAAGCCCAATAGTAGGCCACTAGAGATCCCCTTGCAGAGGGGTCTCGGGGAGGAGACAAGCCAGTCAGGGTGCAATGTAGCAACGATGAAAAATACAACTTTCCTCTAGTTCATAAATGCTTCCTACCTGCCCCCCACTATCATGATACGAATTCTACCTTGCA